CTTTTGATCTGTGATTTGTGTTCTATTCTGAATAAAATATTAGATGTTGGCACCTCCACATCATTGCATTCAGTTTTTATTCACAATTTGGTTAGTGTCCCAACTTTTTTGGAATCTGGTTTGTATAAATATATATTTACACACACACATCTTCGGTGTGTGTGTGTGCATTTTCCTGCCAGCAGCCGACCTGCTGACCCGGCGGTTCTGCTGGGGGCGGTCACATTCCTCTTCCTCCCCATGGACCCTCTGACAGGAGAGGAGGAGTCAGGGAGGGACAGAGCCCAAATTCATTTGGAAGAAGAGTCCGGGTCGGTCCAGTTCTGTAGACGGAAGGCTCAGGGTCGGACTTCTGGAGCTCAGTCAGATGGTTTGGGCAAAGAATTACTTGCAGTTTAAAGTGGATCAGAACCAGTTCTGTAGTCCTTTGCGTTTACTGGTTTGGTTCGTTTGAGTGATGACTGATCTGGTCCTCAGCGGTTCTGAGGGACAGTAGGAACACCACTTTGGTACCATCATGATGTCCTGGACCCAGGAGATCTGGTCCGGATGGCTCGGCAGGACGCAGTGAGGTGTCTGCGGTGCCTGCTTTTTGGACTCAACTTGATGTTCTGGGTGAGACTGGACCGGGACTTCATATTATTATAATAACCTGACCCGGCTGATGGGGGGTGTTGGACAGAACCTTCAGAACCTCCTCTGTTTGGGTCCAAGCTTCTCATGTGTTGGACAGAAGCAGCAGATCCTCAGGTTTGATTTATGTGTCAGACCTGGAAGCAGAGGTTCTGGGTCTAACCCAGAACCTCTGCTTCGGTGTCAGACCCAGATCTTCGGAGGGGTTCTGAGTGGAAGTAGGTTGTGTTGGACATGCTTGCCCTCCTGACCCGGTACCAGGGCCCAGCAGAACCTGACCCAGTCTGTTTTCTGTGCAGCTCATGTCAGCGTGTGTCCTGGGAGTGGCGGCGAGGATCCGAGACACTCTGAACATGGTTCTGACTCTGACGGCCCACACCAGGTGAGTCCAGACCTCTGAGCAGAACCCATGAGGTCTGCTTGTGAATGGAGACAGGCTGAGGTTCTGGCCCAAACTGGGTCCAGAAGGACAACAGCTAAGAACAGAGGTTCTGCAGCAGTCCAGTCAGAGACCAGAACCTCAGATGGTCTGTCCTGTTTGTGTTCTGGCTCGTGTGTCAGTTTGTCTGTTTGTTAGCGAAATATCCCATGAACCAGTGGAAGGATCTAAGTCTCAAGACAGTCACTGGGCTGATTAAGTACTGGACCCAAGATGGCCGCCGCAGCTGGTGGACCTCAGAGACAGGAGACAGCAGAGTCAAACTGAGGACGGTGACTTCCTGTGAGGACGTTCTGCTCTGTGTGTGTGTTGCAGGCTGGAGGACGCCGCTGTCCTCACGTACCGCCCCGCCGTCCACCCCGTCATCGTCACCGCCTGCTGTCTCCTCATCGTGGTGGCCATGTTGGGATACTGCGGCGCGCTGCGGTGTAACCTGCAGCTGCTCACCTGGGTACGGACACACCGTCGCCCTGAACAAACACGTGGCGTTTAGAAACAACAGAACGCAGCAGGAACAACTGATGAACCCACTGCTCTTACTTTGAAAATACCACAGGAAACAGCACGAAGACTTCCTGCTGTTAGAGGACATGTCTCTGACTGAACTCTGTCCTGGTTTGTTTCAGTACTTCATCAGCCTGCTGGTGCTCTTCTGTGTGGAGTTAGCCGGAGCTGTGTGGACCTACGACCAGGTGACAACTGAGTTCATCACACCATGAGTCAGAGTTCATCACACCATGAGTTCATCATATGATGCGTCAGAGTTCATCACACCATGAGTCAGAGTTCATCACACCA